AGCTATGAGTATATCTAGCATACTCAACCTTCAAGTAGTCGGCATTACTCGCATACTCTCAAACTACTCTCAATATACCTGGCATCATTTCTCATCTTCAATATGCATAGTATAATTTCAACTCATCTGTATATATATATATATATATATATATATATATATATATATATATATATATATATATATATATATATATATTATATATATATATATATATATGATGAGAGAGAGAGAGGAGAGAGAGAGGAGAGAGAGAGGGAGAGAGAGAGAGAGAGAGAGAGAAAGCTCTAGGCAACGGGCTTCTGAAAGCGAAATAACATTTCTGGCTGATTTCCGACTGGAATTCGTACCAGGTTTTAGATTACTTCAGCAGCCTCCCTCCCGCTTGCTGGTCGTCGGAAGAGGCAGTATGAACAGAGAAGAACGAAAGGAGGGAAGGAACGAGACACAGAAACTGTGGTAGATAGGGAGCAGATGAGAGGAGATGGGGGAAAGATATTAGTAGATCTGAGAGGACAGAAAATAGAAGCGTTGTTACTGCCTGATCTGCATAGATACACGAGAATAATCTTGGGAATAGACTCTTGTGCTGAAAGTCCACGGTAACATCCCGCCGCATTTCACTAAAACAAGGTCCGTTATCAGTTTCCGTCGTCAGGAACTCGGGTTACGTGTCCCACGTATTCCAAGGCTCTCGTCGTCCTCCCGGTGATGACTGGCCTTATTGCAGGAATATCAAAGAGGCAGGAGTGTGTTCTGGCGGAGGTTGATAGAGGTCTCCCAGCAAGAGATTGCTAGATTTCCCTACCCTTTACCAGGCGATGTGGCCTTGTTGTTGACATCCGCTTTCATCTATTATAGCGGATAAATTCCACTTTGATGTGTAGACCTGATGAATAGTGGGCTTTCATCGGGTAACTGGGGAGAGTTGGGCTGAGAGGGGGAGAGACATTCACTGAAATGGAATAGGTTACCTACAGTATGTTGGACTGTTGCTTCTGGACCGTAGCCAGTAAGCTCAGAACAGACGTGAGAAGGTAGGAGGCAACAAGAGTCCTCATTGAAACGTGTTTTATTATACTCATGTTAAAAGATAATGATGGAACATGAGAGAGAGAGAGAGAGAGAGAGAGGAGAGAGAGAGAGAGAGAGAGAACAGGAGAGAGGAGAGAGGAGAGAGAGAGAGAGAGAGAGAGAGAGAGAGAGAGAGAGAGAGAGAGAGAGAGATTCCTCTGGTTGTGCTGTGATGTAATAACTGGATTAGTCTCTGGCTGCAGCATCCCTGGTAATCATATTAGAGAAGCTTCCGCCTGCCCCCCTCCCGTCCCCTTGCAAATTTAATGCTGTTTTGGTTTATTAAGAGAGATCTGGTTAATATCCTGAGGAAGACGGTAGCAACACAAGTCCTCGTATCACAGGTAGACTCTGACATCACTAGTTGCCACATGATTAGACGAAGGGCAAGACTCAGTCCGGTAGACAAAACATCAGTAAGGTAATTCGCCTGCCAGGTACATAGTCAATACAAAACACAAGGTCTCGGCTGCCAGATACAACCTGTAACTCTAGCACACTCCGTGAAAGACAAATTTATTCAGTGACGAAATCATTATTTCTCTGATGAGTAGTCAGAGATATACTAGAAAAAAGTCTAAAGTCAAACCCTCGTCTAAAAAGTAGAGTCAAACTCATCTTTACTCACCTGGTAGATAGAGGGCCTGAGCAGGAGATGGGTATCTGAAGGTAGAGTTCCTCTTCATGGTGTACAGATCACTCTACACTTGGGTCTCCAGCTTGGGCTCGGTGCTGCTGTGAGCGCCTCAGAATGAGCACCTCACTCCCCTACCGGGCTCACGGTGGTGGTGTCCGTGGCTGGTTTACAGACGCGGTATTCAGGCGATACAGAGAAGCGAAGATCACCGATGTTGCCTGAAGTACAAAGGTATTGTGTCCCGGAGTCACGCTTCCGTCCTTCTCAGTACTCTAATGGTAAACAAACACTTTTGCCGCCATGTGAGCTTCAGGGGGAAAACAAATCCATTAATTTTTATTTTTTTTTATTTTTACTTCTCTTCCCATTATAATTGTTCAATATTATTTAGGAATGTCATTTAGCCCAACCCTAAAAAAAATAATAACATGGATTGATTAATAACTTATAAATTCTCTTTACTTGCATTACTTTTTATCTAAATCAACATTTAGGTCAGTTTATATTATGTTTGGTTTGCCGTATCTCTAAATACTGTATAATGTGTGTTTCTACAAATCGTTCAACCTCGCCACACTAAACCCGTGGACGACGGACGGCGGCAGCTAAGCGACCAACTGTGTTTTGAATCCCTTACCTCGTGAATCCAGCCCCAAGAGACCGTGTCTGATGTAAGCTGACTACAGCTTTTTGGTGGTTGCCTTGTCACAGGCGCCATGCAATAACAGTAAAATAAGTATTCTCCTATTTGTTCTTGCGGGGGTTGAGCTCTGCTCTTTCGGCCCACCTCTCAACTGTCAATCAACTGTAACTAACTACTAACTATTTTTTTTCACACACACACACACACACATACACACACACACACACACACACACACACACACACACACACACACACACACACACACACACACACACACACACACAGGAAGCAGCTGTCTAACTCCCAGGTACCTATTTACTGCTAGGTAACAGGGGCATCAGGAGTGAAAGAAACTTTGCCCATTTGTTTCTGCCTGGTCCGGGAATCGAACCAGGGCCACAGAATTACGAGTCCTGCGTGCTGTCCGCTCAGCTACCAGACCCCAATGGCATGGGACCCCCCTCAGACACACACACAAGAGAGAGAGAGAGAGTGTGTGTGTGTGTGTGTGTGTGTGTGTGTGTGTGTGTGTGTGTGTGTGTGTGTGTGTGTGTGTGTGTGTGTGTGTGTTTATACATCTTGTACCAACGTAAACCGAGCTCATTGGATAGGACCAACTTACGTACACCATAAGAGTGCGGTACATATTTACCAAGAGCCGCCTGATGTGGGTTAAGGTCCTGAACCACAAGACCTTGTGACTTGGGGTGGTCGTACGAGTAGGCAGCCCTTATGGGGGTCTTTGGGGGTCTTTCCCGTCCATTTCAATAAGGGGTAAAGAAAGGGTCTTGGGACATTGGGTCGACGGCCAATTGGTTATACCAGTAAACAGATGTTGTTAGTCCTGAGAAACGAACGCCAACCTTATACATAGGTGTTGATGTTTATATATACCACATATTATATGGATATATTATATGGATACCTCGTGCAGCATATTGTATGAATATGGTATATTTTGGATATTATTTCCGTCTAGTATATTGTGTCATGGGGGAGGACATGTCCGCTTCACCCGTCCCGCTTCACCCGTCCCGCTTCACCCGTCCCGTTTCGCCCAACCCGCTTCACCCGTCCCGCTTCACCCGTCCCGTTTCGCCCGACCCGCTTCACCCGACCCGCTTCACCCGTCCCGCTTCACCCGTCCCGCTTCACCCGTCCCGCTTCACCCGTCCTGTTTCACCCGTCCCACTACACACAGCTTCATTCGTTCCATTTGGGAAATCTGAGCTTGTCTCGCGACAATTTTTCCCAGTTTCATTTCTGTGTCAAGCATTTTCTGTCGTTTCACCTTCATGTGAGGTACTGACTCTCCATGTGTGGTACTGACTCTCCATGTGAGGTACTGACTTGCCATGTGAGGTACTGACTCTCCATGTGAGGTACTGACTTGCCATGTGAGGTACTGACTCTCCATGTGTGGTACTGACTCTCCATGTGAGGTACTGACTCTCCATGTGTGGTACTGACTCTCCATGTGAGGTACTGACTTGCCATGTGAGGTACTGACTCTCCATGTGTGGTACTGACTCTCCATGTGAGGTACTGACTTGCCATGTGAGGTACTGACTCTCCATGTGAGGTACTGACTCTCCATGTGTGGTACTGACTCTCCATGTGTGGTACTGACTCTCCATGTGAGGTACTGACTTGCCATGTGAGGTACTGACTCTCCATGTGAGGTACTGAATCACTGTTGGGAGTCTCTGTCTCTCCCGGTGAGGTGTGACATCCACGGAGCCGACAGCGCCTCGCAGCGCTCCGCTGCAAGTTTGGGAAAGGTTCCCTCGCGGCTGAGTGAATTGTGTTGGTAATTATTGGATGTGTTCCTGCACTCCATCTCTTACCCTGGTGGTGGTGCTGGTGGTGGTGGTGTTGGTGGTGGTGCTGGTGGTGGTGGTGTTGGTGGTGGTGCTGGTGGTGGTAGTGTTGGTGGTGGTGCTGGTGGTGGTGGTGTTGGTGGTGGTGCTGGTGTGGTGGTGGTGGTGTGGTGTGTGGTGTGGTGGTGGTGGTTGTGGTGTGGTGGTGATGGTGGTGTGTGGTGGTGGTGGTGGTGGTGGTGGTGGTGGTTGTGGTGTTGTGGTGATGGTGGTGTAGTGGGTGGGTGGTGGTGGTGGTGGTGGTGTGTGTGGTGGTGGTGGTGGTGTGGGTGGTGGTGGTGTTGTGGGTGGTGGTGTTGGTGGTGGTGGTGGTGGTGGTGTTGTGGGTGGTGGTGGTAGTAGTGGTGGTGGTGTTGGTGGTGGTGTTGTGGGTGGAGGTGGTGGTAGTGGTGGTGGTGGTGGTGGTGGTGGTGTGGGGGTGGTGGTGTTGTGGTGGTGGTGATGTTGTTGTGGGTGGTGGTGTGGGTGGGTGGGTGGTGGTGTGGGTGATGTGGGTGGTGGTGTGGGTGATGTGGGTGGTGGTGGTGGTGGTGTGGGTGGTGGTGGTGGTGGTGTGGGTGATGTGGGTGGTGGTGTGGGTGATGTGAGTGGTGGTGGTGGTGGGTGATGGTGGTGGTGGTGTGGGTGATGTGAGTGGTGGTGGTGTGGGTGATGTGGGTGGTGGTGGTGGTGGTGTGGGTGGTGGTGGTGGTGTGGGTGGTGATGTGGGTGTTGTGGGTGTTGTGGTGGTGGTGGTCTTGCTCTTGTCTGTGTGTAAGTCTCCCCCCCCCCCTCCACAACCAAGGCAAAAGCAAAGTAACAACCGGACGCCTGGCACAATCATAATTACACCATGAATATTCCGGCCCGACTCGCTCTTGTGTAACCGGGAATCAAAGGCGGCTCCTCCTGACGAATCATGCCGCACACTTTGTTTCCCAATTTGCCTTGTAAATGTCCGCGTTATCTGTTATGCAGAGGCCAAACTTTCTTTCGATTGACGCTTGGCTAAATTCCTGCCTCATTTGTATGACTTTCGGAAGAAATATATATATTTTCCCAGCAAGTTGCGCAAAATAGAAATTTAATGAAAAGTTATTAGTCTCTGAAAACTTTTCACATCAGTCAAAAAAAATAAATAAAAAAAAAGGCCGCTGATCTAGTGAAATATTTATATAGTTTGAAAAATATATACTTTTGCGAGGGGCTGCCGAGAGCGTGCATTTTAAAGAACATAAAAGTTGTACTCAAAAGCTGTTCAAAACGTAAATCTTTCTTTTTTATATATATTTATTCTTCGTCAAGGCTTTTGAAGGAAAGGGTCAAGTTTTACATTGATGCAAATGTCAGCATGCATAGTAGCTCACAGCCGAGGGGGACAGCGCTCTGGAAACGCAGTCGAAAGGGCCAGAGTTCGATTCTCCGACGAGGCAGAAACAAGTGACCGAGTTTCTCTCACCTGATGCATCTGTTCACCTAGCAGTAAATAGGTACCTAGGAGTTAGACAGCTACTGGACTGTATCCTGGAGATGTGTGTGTGTGTGTGTGTAAGAGAGAGAGAGAGAGAGAGAGAGAGAGAGAGAGAGAGAGAGAGAGAGAGAGGAGGAGAGGAGAGAGAGAGAGAGAGAGAGGAGAGAGAGAGGGGGAGGGGGAGGAGGAGAGAGAGGGGGGAGAGAGAGAGAGGGAGAGAGGAGAGAGAGGAGAGAGAGAGAGGAGGAGAGAGAGAGAGAGAGAGAGAGAGAGAGAGAGAGAGAGAGAGAGAGAGAGGGGAGAGAGAGAGAGAGAGAGAGAGAGAGAGAGAGAGAGAGAGAGAGAGAGAGAGAGAGAGAGAGGAGAGAGAGAGAGAGAGAGAGAGAGAGAGAGAGAGAGAGAGAGAGAGAGAGAGAGAGAGAGAGTAAATTAAGCCTTAATAATAAGCCTATTTTACCTTCACTAACGTGACTTTGACATAAAGTTATCGTCTAACAATTCTCGCCTCGTTATACGTGCCTCGTTTGAGATGAAAGAACTGACGTCCGTTAATTGCAAAAGTTCGTTTAAAAAAACAGTTCGTTGCTTTGATCTTATTTCCATAAAAAATGAACTCGTTATAGTGAAATTTTCATTCGCTTTAGCTACAATGACCGTTATGTTAGAGACTCAGTAATGCCGGCCGGTTGACGAGGGGGCCGCCCGGTATATTAATTAATGTAAATAACAAAGGCTTCTGTTAACAGGTAACTAGTTTCATATAATTGTTAAACTGTGGAACTCTTAATGGACTCGTACAGTATATATATATATATATATATATATATATATATATATATATATATATATATATATATATATATATATATATATATATATATATACAGTATATGGGACTACACGTGCGCTGCCACAATGGCCAGTCCCATATACTGTATATATATATATATATATATATATATATATATATATATATATATATATATATATATATATATATATATATATATATATATATATATATATATATATATATACAGTATATGGGACTACACGTGCGCTGCCACACTGGCCAGTACCTACCTCCACTACAGCACACGTGAAAGCGGTGGTGCTGCTTCTTTCAGGGAATCGCAGAAAATTATTAAATACAGAGGTCTAGCACACTGCTACACCTTTGTTCCGATCGGCTCGGAGACCCTCGGTTACCATCAAATATATAAAGCACAAAAAATATATATATATTCCCTCTAATGCGTTATGCGTGGTTTCCTCCGAGGCTATATATATATATATATATATATATATATATATATATATATATATATATAT